TCTCCAAGCCATTAGTAAGTTATTATATTTATTTATCATATGTTTGCTTACTGTGCCCTAGCTTTTTTGTTTTGTTTTGTTTTGATAAGCCCAAATAGACTGGGAGAGTGAGCTACTTTGGTTATTGGCATCTTTGAAGCTCTCACATCCTGTCACCAGGAGTTAGAGCTGTAACTAGGTGAGTGAGCTCAGGAGTCTGTTTACTTTTCTCATGTGGATTCAGCTCAGGGATCCAGGTCATCAGACACTGAGTATGTGGTGCAGGCTCTCACCTACAGTCCTGGATGAGCAGAGTTACGTAGGGGTGATTGGAGCAGTCACAGGTATCTGGCTGCAGTAGGGGGCTATGTCCTGAGCAAGGTAAGGGGCTGAAGGCTGCCCCTGAGTGCCTAGGTGAAAGGTGTGCCCCTGTCCCCTAGAGCGTGTAGGTGAATAAGTTTTGCAGCCAGACTTTAGGCACCCAATGCTGTTGACTGTACAGACAGGGAGGCACCACTTATTCTTGGACCCCTGTCATGGGTGGCTAGGTGGAATGGGTGAATCTGCCAGTCCTCAGGTCCCTGATGGTGGGTGAGGACCCAGCTTAATGGGCAGAGTGGTGTCAAATATCACGAATCTGCCACTCCCCCTTGGCTGTTGCAGTTGAAAATAGGCTTCCGGTATATACCCTGTTGTTCTATGCTATTGAGGGCCTAAGCTGTTGAATAGGCTTACACAAGTTTAGGCTGGGGTGAAGGGAGTTTGAAGTCCATGGGCCCCTTATGTCTGTGCCTATGCAAAGGGGCAGTGGCTACCCTGAGTTCCTGGCTTAGGGGGCTTGGCAATTTTTTAAAGCCTTGAGACTGGTTTGGGTGCAGTTAGTCCTGAGTACCCAGCTTAGGGGATTTGGCGGGGTTTTTTGTTTGTTTTCTCCCTAAAGCCACAAGATTGGTTTGGGCGCGATAACTCCTATTTTGGGCTTAGGGAGCATGGTAATTGTTAAATACTACCAGACTGGTATTGGAGCAGACTGGGGAGTGGGGTGGCACTTGTCGTCTATGAAAATCCCAGAGGGGGCAGGGTTGTTTTGATCCTGCACAGTAGGTTAGATGCTTGCACTTAAATTTCTGAGAGCCAGTGCTGCTTCTCTCTGGCTCCGGAGGCTTGTGCAGATGCTGCACTGCCCGGTTTCTCCCAACGCTGTAAAATGCATCCCAAGCATTACTGCTTGCCTCAGCCCATGTGTGCCAGCCGATTCAGCCTGCAGGGTGCCGGCTAGCTCAAGTCTGGCACTTCTTCACTGCTTCTGAACTGTTTTTCTCTCCCCCTGCAGCTCAGTTCAACTCCTCAACTTTGTTTTTGATGTTCAGGGTACCTAGATTGTCATTTATAATTGATTCACTTGTTTTTGGGGGTCTTTGTTGTAGGAAGCACCACAGGAAGCGTCTGACTATTCTGCCTTCTTGGCCCCACCTAGATCACTGATTTTAAACCTTTATTTCTGATCTAAGCATTTAAAGTTTTACATTTTTCTCTAAGCAATGTTTTAGCTACATCCCACAAATTCTAATTTGTTAAATATTTTATTGTATTTAAGTTAAAATGTATTAAATTACCCCTATGATTTCTTCTTTGACTAATTGATTATTTAGAAGTGCATTATTTAATTTCCAGTTATCTGGGAATTTTCAAATTATTTTTCTGTTACTCATTTCTAATTCCATTATACTGTGGATCATAGAATGGATGCTATATGATTTTAATCCTTTGAAATGTATTCAGACTTATTTTATGGCATAGAATATGGCCTAACTTGGTAAATAAAAGAATGTTCCTTCTTCAGTTGATGGGTGGAATGTTCAATAAATATTAGTTAGGTCAAGTTGTTTGATAATTTCTACAATATCCCTGTTGATTTTCTGACTACTGTTATATCAGCTAGTGAGAGAGGAGTGTTGAAATTTCCAACTACATTTGTGGATTTCTCTCTTTCTCCTTTCAGGCCTGTCAATTTTTGCTTCTTGTATGTTTAATGTCTGTTATAAGCACATACAACTTCAGGTTGATTATGTGTCCATAAGAAATTCATCTTTTTATCTCTATAAAATATTTCTCTATATCCCCGGGAATATTCAGTGCCTAGCAGTCTACTTACTGATCTGCTATTAATGTAACCATGTCAACTTTCCTATGATTAGTGTTATCATGGGATATCTTATCCCACCTTTTAATTTTTTTTAAATAGACTATATTTGAGAATGATTTTGGATTTACAGAAAAATTTAAGTTCCAGGTTTTCAATTACAGGGTATGTACATTAGATGCCTTGATATTGGTCACAGGTCACTGAAGCTCTGATTTTTCTTTTTCCCCTTTATTTTTTCTCTCTGTTCTTCATTTTGGATAGTTTTATTGCTGTGTTTCAAATTCAGTGTTTTTTTTTTTCTTCACTGAGCTTTTCTTTTCATCCAATGAAAATCTTATTTCACTTATTTTATTTTTCACCTCTAGAGCCTTCATTTACTTTTTAAAAGCATTTCTTCTTTGTCTTTCTTCATTAGGCTTATGTTTTTTTAAAAGCTTAAGCATATTGTACATATTTAGAATAGCTGTTTAAAGTCCCCTGTCTGCTGATGGTTTCATCACTGTTATTTCTGGATCTATTTCTATTGTCTTATTTTTTTCCTGGTTCTAGGTCTCAATTTCATGCTTCTTTACATGTCTAGTACTCTTTGAATGGATGCCAGACATTGTGAATTTTACATAGATGAGAGCTAAATTTTGTTGTAGTCTTTGAGTGTTGGACTTCTTACAGCAAGAATTGTATCTGCCCAAAAATTTGTTTCTTTTGAGCTTTGTTTTTAAGCTAGTTTAGGGTGGCCACTGCAACCTTAACTATAATTTATTGCTATTACTAAGGCATAAATCTTCTAAAGTTTCTAATTATAGTTCCATATATTTAAAAACAGTTCCTGTGTGGCAAAAACAATTAAGTGCTCTGCCGCTAACTGAAAGGTTGGAAGTTTAAGTTGACCCAGAGGTACCTCAGAAGAAAGGTCTGGTAATCTATTTCTGAAAAATCAGCCACTAAAAACCCTGTAGACAACAATTCTACTCTGACATACCTGGGATCACCGTGAGTTGGAAGTAACTTGACAGCAACTGGTTTTGTTATATTTAACAAGGTCTCTTCTTTCTGGGTAAGAAAATTCAAATGATTCTCAGTCCTGTGTGAATCTAAATCTATAAGCCAACTCTGTCCTGTCTACAACTGGTCGAAGGACAGTACTATTTGAGCTCAACTCTGGGATCTATAATCTAGAGAGAGGGAGATGGAACTTCCAGTGACTACCTTGCACATTAGGCACTCAAAAAATATTATCTCCATTTGAAGAAAAGAGTTAAATCTTAGACAATTAAATGCTCCAAATGATCCACCTCTACACAATTCCACCTTCCTTCTTTTAGTAGAGGGTGTTAACCAACAGAGTTCTTGACTGGAAGTGCTTAATTTAATGTGTAACCTTTGGCAAAAGTCCTCTCTGTGACACTGTATCTTTGTCTATGATATGAATGTAATAATTATACTGAGCCAGGTTTTTTGAGAGAATGATACATATCTCATTCATCTCTAGTTAACCCCAGTTCCTAGAGAGTGCCTTGTACGTGATGGTGCTATATGCATGGTTAAGGATAGAAATCTGGTAGAGAGGAATCTGCTGCACTTGGAGGCAGGAAATGAAGGAGCAGGCAAGGACAATATGTCTTCTACACCTAAGTTGAGGGAAATCAAAGAAGTGCAAGTCCTCGCTCTGGCTTTAGAGACACAGCAACGGCACCCCCTTGGGAGACAGGGCCTAATGAAAATCAGGCTGTGACTGATTGAATTAGCTACTTCTCTTCTCATGGAAAGAAGTAAGTAAACCAGAAATGTTCCCTACAGTACTACTTTATGTGGAGAGACAGCAGAAACATTTCCCTCTATGGGCTAAGGCCAAGATATATAGATTGGAGAGGAGAGGTTTCATCTCCATCACCAAGGAACTGAGCCAGGATAGGTTTTCTCATTCCAACTTCCTCGCTTTCTGGACTATAATGGTAGCGATGGCCGTACAGTGGGTGTAGACTTAGTATGGGCAAGGAAAGACGAGCAGATCCAAGATGAGAAGAATGTTTCAAGAATGAGTTTATACTGAATATTTTTTAGACTGGCTTCTGGACATTCCAATCTGCATTGGTTCATCAAAGGATGATAAGGCAGTTGATATCAGAAAGCAAATAAATGTGAAAAGAGAGCTTTTATTTATATCTCAATTTAATAAGTATTCTTTCCCTTTTAAAATTCTGAACAAAATAAAAATCAACATATAAGACACAACAAGGAAATATGCCCTTTAAATAGTGCATTGCATATGGAAAAAATAAAATCCTTGGGAACACATACTCCCTCCTTGAAAGTTGACATGCCATTTTAGAGTAAGCTTGCTTTGTTTAAACTAGAATTTACATCTTAGTAGCAGCTTACAAGCCTGTTACCTGTGAGGGGATAGTTGCCATGACAACATTAATAAGCCTGTCCTATGACCAGAGATATCTTAAAGAGAGAATACGTTCGTGCTCCCACTTATTATCATATTGGTCTCTGCTTTCTGGACAGGAAGAGCTAAAAAAAAAAATCACTCTAACAGAGGAAAATATTTATTAATGGTCTTGTGGTGATCCATTTTAAGCTTTAAATGAGAGGAAAATTTTATGGTATTAACAAAAAAGGTCTGCTAGAAACCATTTCTTTAAAAAGTGTGTAATGTTTGTAATGGCTACTACTGCAATGAAACTTGACATTTGTTTATTTATTTAACAAATAATGTGTTGAATTTGCCATTAGTCTAGTTTGGCCTGATACATATGCTTGTACAGTCTTCCTCAAAAACCTTTTTCATTTGATAATTAAGTCAGTAATCTTTCATATATTTCTTAACTAAGCAGTAAATATTCATCCAGCACTATATATTTAACATGAGACATTGGTGGTTCAGTGGTAGAATTCTTGCCTTCTATGTAGGAAAACTGGGTTCAATTCCCAGCCAATGTGTTTCATGCATAGCCCGCACCCATCTGTCAGTGCAGGCATGAGTGTTGCTGTGATGCTGAACAGGTTTCAGTGGAGTTCCAAGACCTAAGATGGACTAGGAAGAAAGGACAGTATCTACTTCCGATAACTTATGGATCATAAGAACCCAATCCATAACCAATCATGGGGATCAAGCAGGACCATGCAGTGTTTTATTCAGTTGAGCATGGGGTTGCCACGAGTCGGAGACTGACTTAATAGTAGTTAGGAACAACAATATATTTTACACATATTATGTTTCTGTAATAGCCATAACAATAGGTTCAAATATACCAACAATCATGAAAATGGCACAGGACTGGGTAGTGTTTGTTATACATAAGGTCGCCAATTTGGAGCCGACTTGACTGCAGCTAACAAGGACATATTTCTGTACCACACAGGCACTTTAAATATAGCATAGCTTTTCAGCCTCAGAACAAAATTCAGTATGGATTATCTATATTTACTGTTGAGAAAAGTAAGTCTCAGAGTGTTCGAGTAGGTTTCTCTGAGGCACAGTTGGGCAAGTACACTCAGATTCAAAGGTAGTGCTTTAAGAACAGCCTTACACGGCCTTCTTTCCCCATCAACGCCACTACCCACCCCCACCTAAGTACTTAGCAACGTGTGAGTTCTCTAAAGTATATTCAAACAAGAGCCAGAGAAAATCTCTACCCTCAAGGACTTTTTAAACCATTCAGATACATTTATAACCCAGTTAGAGAAAATTTAGGGAAATTACATAAACTTACAAGTCTTTAGACAGGGATTCATGAGCCAAATCTGTCATTAACTTGCTGGATGTTCTTATGCAAGTCATATATTCTGGTTGTACTTTAGTTTGCAGAAACTGCTATCTAATAAAATCTGAGTTACTAGGTAGACCAGAGCTCTCTGGAAATGGCTTAGGCTGCCTCAAAAACTAATGAGTATCCTATCTTAAAAGGTATTTAACAAGACGCTGGATGACCAAGTAACAGATAATTCTACATGAAAAAGTGGATTTAAACAAAGGATGTTGTTAGTTGCTGTCAAGTCAGCTCCAACTCATGATAACGTTATGTAAAATATAACAAAATGTTCCCCATCTTATGTCTTCTTCATGATCCACTTGTTATGGTCATTGTGTAGTGCCTTCCAGTCTAATGGGCTCATCTTCCGGCACCATATCAGACAATATTCTGTGATCCATAGGGTTTTTCACGGGCTAATTTTTGGAAGCAGATCATCAGCTTTTCTTCCTATTCTGTCTTAGTTAAGAATATCTGCTGAAATCTGTCTACTATGGGTGACACTGATGGTATTTGAAATATCTGTGGCACAGCTTCCAGCATCATAGCTACATGCAAGCCACCACAGTATGATAAACTGACAGACAGGTGGTGTAAACCAAGGATAGGTGGTTTTTTGTTTGTTCATCAACTATTGTGAGATGTGTGTTAAAAATCTCAGTTATAATTGTGGATTTATCCATTTCTTCATTTAGTTCAATTAATTTTTGCTGTATTATTGGGTCATACTGATTTGTGATGGTGATATCATACTGTTGGGTTGACCCTCTTTTCAGTTTGAAATATCATTCCTATCTATTATAGTGCTTCTTGTCTGTTGTTGGTGTTAGGTCTGTCAAGTTGGCTCCGACTCATAGTGACTTCATGTATAACAGACCAAAATGTTGCTCAGTTGCTTCTTGCCAAAGTTTACTTTTTAAAAAATTTTGTAGTTATACCAGCTTTCTTTTGGTGTATGAATGTTCCATTTTTTATCACTTTACTTTGAACATTTCTATGTCTACATAATTAAAGTGTATTTCTTTTAAGAAGCATATGTTGTTATTATTGTTGGGTGCCACTGAGTCTATTCTGACTCACGGCAACACTATAGGACAGAGTAGAACTGTCCCATAGGGTTTCCTAGGCTGTAATCTTTAAAGGAGCAGATTATCAGGTCTTTTCTCCTGTGGATTTGTTGTTTCTTTAACCCTTCAGACAATCTTAATTTTCTTACTGGGAGTATGTAGACCATATAATGCAATAACTAATATACTTGGCTTTAAATCTGTCAGCCTATTATTTGTTTTCTATTTGGCACATACATTTTATGTTCTCCTTTTGCTCCTTTCTTGCCTTCTATTAAATTGATCACTTTTTTTTTTTTTTTTTAAGGAAAGCTTTTAATAACCAGGGTGTAAATGCAGGAAAAAGAAGACCTATATCAGAGATCATTAACATTAGTATAATAAATGAATTTTAAATTATTTCTCCCACTTAAGAAATGTTGTTGTTGTTAGATGCCGTTAGTCAGTTCTGACTCAAAGCAATTCTAGGTACAACAGAAGAAAACACTCCCCAATCTTGCACCATCCTCATAATCATTACTAGGTTTAAGCCCATTGTTGCAGCCATTGTGTCAATCCATCTCATCCAGGGTCTTCCTCTTTTTCACTAACCCTCTACTTTACTAAGCACTATATCCTTCTCCGGGGGCTGGTCCCTCTTGATAATATATCCAAAGTACATAAGACGAAGTCTCGCCATCCTCACTTCTAAGGAGCATTCTGGCCATACTTTTTCTAAGACAGATTTGTTCATTCTTCTGGCAGTCCACGGAATATTCAATATTCTTCACCAACACCATAATTCAAAGGCATCAATTCTTAGGTCTTCCTTATTTGTTGTTCAGTTTTCACATGTATATGAGATGATTGAAAATACCACGGCTTGGGTCAGGCGCACCTTAGTCCTCAAAGTGACATCCATCTTTGCTTTTTAACGCCTTAAAGAGGCCTTTTGCAGCAGATTTGCCCAGTGCAATGTGTCTTTTTTTTTTTTTTAATTGTACTTCAGGTAAAGGCTTATGGAACAAATAGTTTCTCATGAAACAGTAGTACACATATTGTTTTGTGACATTGGTTAACAACCCCACAACATGTCAACCCTCTCCCTTCTCAACCTTTTATTTTTTTATTTTTTTGGTGAAAATATACATAGCCAAAGATACACCATTTCAAAAATTTCTACATGCACAGTTCAGTGACATCGACTATACTCTTCCAATTGTGCTGCTATTCTCACTTTAGATGAAGGCTTTCAGAACAAAATAGTTTCTAATTTACAGTTAGTACACATGTTGCCCTATGACGATGGTTAACAATCTCACATCACATCAACACTATCCTTACTCAACCTTGGGTTCCCTATCACCAGCTTTCCTGTCCCCTTCTGCCTTCTGGCCCTTGTCCATGGACTGCTGTGCCTC